CGGTTTTCTTTCACGTAAATCGGTTTGATTTATGACTGTCAGGTAAAGTTTCCATAATCGTTGAAGTTCTTTTTTACTAAAGTTTACATGAGAAATAAGCTTTAGCATTTGAACAAGCAGTCTGTTGTTCAAATGCTTGTATTTGTCTGGCAATGACATATAATTAATGTCAAGTTCAATTATATTTGGCCTCAGATGAAAAAAAAATTTAAAAAGGCATACAATAAAAGATGTGATAGGAACTCGTATGATACCTCCATATGTAATCAAATCCTTCTTGAAATTTAGTAATTCAAAAGAAAAGAGAATACTCGGTAGATGATATTTATTTGCATAGAAGAAAAAAATAATCACAGCCAGTGATTTTGGGTACGAGATCCCTAAAATATTAATCGAGCCGAATAAAAAAAATCCTAGTATTAATCAAATGTAATGTAAAATATTTAACTCCTTCATGTGATCAAATTTAGCTTCAAATATTGAGCATGTGTCAGACATTTTTTTAACTCCTATTATAAATAACTTCCCCAATTCACGTCTCTAAAAATCAATTTTAATTCCTTTCCTCTAGAGTAAAATTCGGTTTTATCTGTGGTATAGAACATACTTTGGACCATTTAAAAAATGCTGAACGGGAGGTAACAAGAAAAAGAGAGTAGAAGATAAAGATGCTTAGTATAAAATTACAAAGGTGATAGAAACAGCGAAAAAACAGTATGGAAAATGTGTATTCAAAGTCGATAAAGTATAAATATTCTACCGACATAAAAATGCGATCCCAAGTGGTATATCATATTTTTAGACGGAAAATATAGATAAAAAATGTCTGTTGCACATGCAATGCGATAAGCAGACATGATGATTAACATACAAGATTTATTTAAAACATGTGTTAGTGTTAAAAATCGGTTGCTTATCGAAAAAAGTGGTGCTGATTTGTAAAACTTTATCTCCTCAAAGAAAAAGATAAAATTCAAAAACGGGAATTCCAAAGCGCAGAATTGAACATTATTTGTTAGGAAGTTCGTGGAATGGTTTCGGGAATTCAATTTTGCACGTTTTCAATATTTAAAGAATTGGTTCATTTAATATCATAACTTACGTAACTATATAACAGGTATGGAATATCTATATTGCTACTTGGAAACAAATAGATTAGAGACTTGACCTTTGAAGACTTTTTTAGCTTTTTATTTATCAAGTTTGCTTGAATATGACTTCACTTGGTTTTAAAAAATATGCTAAAAAATTAATGAAAATCATCTTTACATATTGCAGTTTTGTTTTTCCGTTGGGTTTAGATACAAGAATTGTACAGAAAAAAGTTTCAACTACAATCTACCTTTTTCATAGGTATCAGTCACGTAATTGCGATGATATGTGTTAGTTTGATGGTTCGTTTATAAAGATCTCATGGAATCTTATCACAATCAAGAAGCTAAAATGGTTTTGTCTAACGTTTACATCATGATCATTTCCACAATGAATCTCCAAAGGCATTTTACTCTGTTCTGATACATGTATAATGATTTTGTAATTTATTTTATTTAAATCTGAAAAGGATTTTAATATATTTTGATGATTTTGAAATACTAAAACTTGGTATACAGTGTGTATGAGTGTTTAAAAAAAATTATAGGATTGATTTAAAAATTCTCAAAAAGTAATGAACCTCCAAAGGCATTTAACTCTGTTGTGATATAATTATTTTTGTAATTTATTTAACTTAAATCTGGAGATGATGTCTGATATATAAGACTGAATAAAAGATGGTCTGAAAAAGTAATGATTTTGGTTTAGCAGCTGGGTTTGTGGGTTTGTAGCACATGAAAAATGTGTAACGGATGACTCTACACAGAAGAGACCAAATATCCCTCAGACCTTCTTGTCGTCAGGTAAAGATTTATCCTCCTTATAGCAGATAATAAAATATTTCAAGGTTTATTCTTTAAGAATTGTTCATGTACAAATCGCATCTTCATAAAAACATTGATAATGTTTAATGTATATGTCTTTTCTGCTTCTGCTCAAATTTCGTATCTTTTAACAAAAATTAAAAAAGAGAGATTCTAAGTTTAGATATTGCTATCTTTACATAAGGTTGGAAAAATTCAACATTGCCTTAGTTCCAAAAACATATCAACGTCATCATCAAAACTAAAAAAAATCCCCATGTCAGTTATTTTGAATACAAATATATGAAAATTATGGGTTTTTCGGGAAAAATATTTAAGGGTTCCTTTTGTCTGTCAAGGTCTCTGAACTAAAATGTTTACAAAAAGGAGGTGTAGTTTGGGATTGACCAGTTCATATGACTTACTTAAAACGAATTACAGTATAATTTACTAGCAATGTCTTCAAAAAATGTTTTTATGTCCCATTATATTATATAATAATACCACTATATTAAATTACTATTGTATATTTATTTAATCTATAAGTCAGTTACTTTCTTGTTACGTTCTATTACTGAATATTATATAATTGTCATGCATGAATATAAACGTTCCTTCTTTTTTCTTCTTAATTTTCTATGGCTCTTCATTTTGTAAAGAACAAGTACAATGTATGACTACTCAATAGGGCATCTGGAACTAATCCAACTCTTAGTGTGTCAAAGATATTTTCCCTCCTTTACTGAAATCAAGACAAATGAATATATTTCAACACACCATTCGTTTACATACTTTTCCTCTAATAACCCTCTTCACCTTCTGAAATGATACTCGGCGCATTTTTTTTCCACCATTAAAAAATCAAATGAATGAGATAAGGTTTTGCTTTCTAATAGTTGATCCGAGCTTCCTTATATCAAATGAATTGTAATTTTCCTACAATTCGTCAAGTGTCAGTCGTTTTCTTTCTTATCGCCGAAAAACTTTGCAAATTTTAATCTTTTTTCCTTTTTTTTAAATTTACCATTTTCACTATCATTGGACATAGGGATTCAGATTTGCGCAAACAAAGGGTCACATATGCATCCTATTTCAAGGGGAGGTACATGTTATTTGAGAACTTGCACATGTAAATAATATTCTTATCGACAAGTGCAAATTCAAAAAGATAAACTAAGGTCATTTGTAGTAGCTAAGGGTGGGACTACCTGAAAGTTTTGCATCGGATACAATATAAGTGAGTAAGTGAGTGTATATTGTTAAACGTCCCTCTCGAGAACTTTTTACTCATATGGAGACGCATACGGTATATAAAGGGAATTAATCCTAAGAAAGATTTCTCTAAAGAATAACAGTCTCGGATAAAATATAGGTAGTGCAAAAATAAAATTTTCCAATCATACTAGTGGTCTTCCGGAATCAGGATCTGAACAAAAAATCAAATGTTTGCATATTACCGATGGGAAAAAAACTCTTGTAATTTTTAAAAGTAATTTTGAGGAAATATCTTCATGAACATTTTAATAACGATGTTATATCAAGGAACAAGGTTCCTTCATTTGCACTGATTCAACTTTATATTTATTATCTACTCGGGGGCGAAAGTGACAATATTAAAAAAAAAATTAAGAGGGTTATTTTTTGTTTTATTAAAATGATTTTTGGACCCTTTGATGGGATATATTCGTTGATCAAAATTATATACAGGGAAAGATTTTCCAGAGAAACATTCATGTTTATCAGTCTGATATTTCTCCAACCAAATGTAGTGGTGATTCAAATTTGATATAACCATGCAAATCCAACTGTAGCTAGGAAAAGAAAATAATATGGTGTTTAATTTGTTCCTAGAAATAAATAGAAAACAAAATAAGAACGTTAACTCAGTGAGCATACAGGCTTACGAGTCTCACATTGACCTAGTCAAGTGATTTGAACAATTATAACCAATTTTAAAACAAACCAGAAGCACGTAATAATTGTACTTTAATTGAATGTTTTAAGTAGGTTGTAATCAATGTGGAATAAGCAGTTAATGGTAAGTAAAATCTCAGTTCAGGGCATAGCACTTCAATTTTTTCAAAAACAAGGAAATTAAAGCATGATTTTTTTTTTTCACTTGTGAAATTTCTGTTTTCAGTTAGTCTTCAACAGAGTAACTTATAATTGCTCTGCTAAAAACCCGGTGGTATCTCAATAAAACAACAACAAACGACACAAATATATACATAATAATTTAAGTGGATAAGAGATGATAAAAAGAACAAAATCAGGGGGAAATTCACGGAAAATATTGATACAGGTCCATTCGTAAGAAATGTAGTTTATGTTCAAGAATAAACTGCAACCTTCTTAATGAAATGGTGAGGTAAATTTTGGAAAATGAAAATTCACTCGCATATGCATGCTATATTACACAACACTGAAAAGACTAAATCTACCAAAAATAATTTCGCAAACTGATAAATGTGGAAAAACAATCAAAATAACTGCAGGTTTCTAAACTCCATTAAAGTGCAATATGGCATTTTAAACAAACTTATATCTGAAGGAATTTGTAACAAACAAATAAAATCGGTCGGAACTAAAAATTTCTAGAGCAAGAAACTCAACATAATGAATAAGCCTGGATCTAGCCAGCTCTCTCACTCTGAAAAGTCACGATGAAATATCCTGGCCCCTCCTACTTTTTTCTTTTATATACTGAGGATTTTTTCAGGCACTTAAAGATGTTTTCTACCTCTTTAAAGGACATCCATATAAGATGGGTATAATGTGTTTTATAGGTTTCTTGTCAAATATCCCGGAAATTAAAGTTGCATATTTAACTATCAATATATACTTAATTTCTTATTTATCAATTTTTTTTCTTTCTTTTTTTTTGTTTTGTTTTGTTTGTTTGTTTGTTTGTTTGTTTGTTTTTTTTGCTTAACCTCTTATGCCCCATTTAGGAATTCCTAGAACATTTTTTTCCTTATGAAAACATATCACAGTTTACAATATATATAAATATATTTTTTTTTTATTTTGCTTACTTTAGTGCATGTATTACATGTACATTCTACAAATTGCCAAGCAAGTGTATTACCTAATAGTAATTTATTCACCCGGCCTCTATATTTCCATATTTCATCGTAACTGATCTAGATCTGACTATTCAGTGCTGGTGAGTTTTTACCAAACTCTGTCAACGATGTTCGACAGCTGGAGGGAATTCGGATGTCGCTTAAGGATGTTCTTTGATTGGACATCCGTCGAACAGCCTCGCTTTCAATTACACTGACAGAGACTGCGCGTTTGACTCTACGACCTCCGTCAACTAAAAACATCCGGGCAATCAACATGAACAGACTAATCACAATGCATGTAAGATATTACAATAGTACATTTACTGCAGTGTAAGGGGATCGTGTTTCCATATTCAATATAAATAGAACAGTTCAAAGTACTTGTATTTTTTGAAACATGAAAAGACGATGACGTAGGTAAGGATTAAGAGAAGGGTAATCAGTATTAACAATACAAATGAAAAGTTGAAGTCATTTGTCCATTTTAAGACTGAAATGGTGTATCAAAGTAATTCAGAAGTTTATTAATTATGTGAGTCTTTAACAACTGCAATGTAGTTAAACAATTAGCTCAAGGTCATTTCAGCCAAGGTTTCAAGTTGAATGTGTGAACATAAAAAGTTTATTTTTATCCAGAGTGGAAAAGACTTTCATGCACGTACTTACCAATGGTAACGATGTACTTGGTCTTGTTGAAGATGTCTTTGTAGCCTTGACGAAACTTAGGGATCCGCCACGCATAGATCACAGGGTTACAGGCACTGTTCATAAAGCCGAAACAATACGCCTTCAAAACAAAAATTTTCCTGTTAATGATGCCATGCTATAAAACTAGAGGTACTGTGAGCAATGAGCTTACTAAATGGTCATGTTTTGTTCTGGTAGACCAAAAATAAGTGTCAGATCAAAGAAAGAAAAATAGGAGGTGCACAATGACATTGTGTAATAAATATTTTGCGAGAGTATATATCATTAAATTTTATTCAGCGGTATAAGAGGAGTTGCAGATAAAAGATGGGTATCCTTCAGTAAAAGTGAAAAAATGGCCGTGTTCATGTTTTGCTCCGGGAAACCCAAAATATGTACTCGATCAAAAAGTAAAATTGGAGATGCTCATATAGTCAATGGCACTATATAACAAAGACTCAATAAACTTCATTCAATGGTAAAATAGGAATTTGAAACATATGTTTACAAAAAGCAAGATCAAAAGTCCACAAAACAATACAGGCAAACTTGGACCTCCAAAACATCAGTATCATGTGCCACGGAGGAGTGACTATATACCTTCCTACTTTGCTCCTTGTCATGATAGGGAAATTGAAAAAGTGCTGTTTAAGAATTGAAGAAGTACGCTTGGCTTTTTTAGAAAATTTTTGGTTAAAAAATTGTTTGAGAAATAGTAAAATGGGTACAATACCTCCTGTTTTTCTCAAATTCCAGAACATATATTAGTTTTCTGAAAGCTACTTTCCGATGCCTTGACTTGCGGAAATAATGCAAATTATCTGTAGACGGGAACAATATATTAAACAAAACTGGGTTTTAATTGTTTATCTTACAAAATAAGTTTAAGAGGAGTAGCAAATCGTCATTATACAAAAGAGAACTTTGGACTTTCGACTTGTCTAACTTGTCTACTCTGAATTTGTTGTATACAGCTTTATGTCTGGGGTGTCCAAATCAAACTAATAGTATGCATATACACAAGCTTGATGTGGATTCTTCAGATAAGCCATGGGGTACTCTAAGGACCGGAATTTAACTTTATGGTAGCACGTGTACACGATGCATTGGTCAGAGAAACATAAAGGAATACACAAGAGGCGGATCGAGAAGACAGATCAACTGAGATCAATGGACATATCTACTTGAGTGCGGGGATTGGGAATTGAAATCCATTTAATGTCTTTTGCGCATGCCTTATTCTCATCAACTGTGACTGCAGTGTTCAACTATCCTACAACGTCGCAGTTAATTGCATTAAGGCATACGTAAGAATATCTGAAAACAAATAAATTAATAAATGCAATGGAAACATTGATGCAACCATCAACTGTGGCCCGGGAAATATATAAAGTGGCAGTGATGAAAAACTCTGAAATCTAGATCACGTGTGAGGTCATCAAATGCTTTATAAATTGATACTGTGTGAAAAGGCACATCCTAATTACATCATACTGTGAAGTTAGGAGAATCGCTTTTTTCGTCTAACCCATTTTTTAAGCTTTTTTTATATTTTCTAAGAAGCGAGAAACAGGAATTGTTTTATTTACAAAAATGGTTTTTATCTTGTTTATAGCACTGTTAATTTTTATAGTACTGTTTTAAGATTATCTGTAAATGGTATGTTTGATTGTAAAATGCATTGTGTAATATTAAGTTTTAATGTTACTTTTTTACTTTAGATTGTATATTTGTGTGAATGGTTTTTAGCTATTGAATGTTGTGCAATTTTAAATGTCAGTGTTCCTACATGTATCCTGGCGTATTGTATTTTCGACCTATTTAGATGTTACTTATTAATTTATTGCAAACTAAGCATCTAAGAAAATATGGGCTTAAAATATTGGCATATGTGTCTATAAATGAAATGATATTACCAATATTGCAGTTTTGTGTTTATTTTATTTATATGCCATAATATGGAGATGGTGCAGTTTTCCTTACAAAAATATTAGTGTCTTGTGTTTTCCACCTAAATATAGTAAAAGCCCAATCAGTATTATATATTATCCATTGGATATTCCAAACAATAAAAATATTTATTTTTAAAAAAACATTGAACAAGTTGCATAATTTGGTTGCAAATACATAGTCATTTATTCGTTGGTTGAACCCATCTGTAGCTGTACATGTGTATTTACACAAAAAAATCAATGAAATTGCGTTGCATTTTTCAGTAAAAATCTGTTTCAATATTTAAGAAAAAAAAATTCATTTGATCCACCCATTCATTTCAATATTCATTCGTCTTTTTGACAGGGATCTTAATTTTCTTTCCATGTCACAAAAAATCTTTGTAATTAACCGATTACGGCTTTCATTAATCAACAGATAAAATGTGCATTAGTAAAAAGACTAGAATTTCTGTCAACGGACTAAAAACATGGGGGGAATATTCCGTTGAATGAATTATTTTGGGTATTTTCACTACATTTGTGCTTCAAAGGTATTTTTCCAAGTGTAGCAACCGAAAATAATGTTCTACCTTGCGGTATCTGCACGCGAAGCAGATTGGGAAAAATAGGTCACAATGACATTAGATGAAAAACTCTACTTTATATCAAGATTATCGTTACGTAGGTATTAATAGCTACCTAGGTATTTAATGATAGCTATTTTTATAAATTGCATTTTGTGTCCAAATGCAGGAACGGCGCAACATGGTGAGCAGAAAATTTCTTGATACAGTCACACTGATTATGGATATGATAAAAATTTGGCCAAAAAATGAAAACTTTGTATGTTATCAATTTTGCATAGAAACTAATGTAAAATTGCCGATTCAGGAAGTAATCATTTTTTGGCCAAAATTTTGTGGTATATATTTTGTGACCGTATCAAAAATATGGTATTCAGAAATGGTTTGGTATTTGGTAGAAAATGGAAAATATATAAAGTATAAAAATAGCTTTTTGTTTAAAGCACTGTTCTATTAATTATAGAAATGTTATAAGATTATCTGTTATAATAGATTTAGTTTGATTTTGGTTTACTGCCAAAAAGTGATATCACCTATTCATTTGGTGATATCACCTATTCGAATAAGTGATATCAATTATTCAGATTTTAAATAGGTGATATCACCTATTCGAATTGGATTCAACTGGTGATATCACCAATTTTGTGTTATCATGGTTTGATATCACTTATTTGAATATTGATGTCAATTTTAAAGATATCACTTTTTGCCAGTACATACATGTACATGTACCAAAACGGTGCCTCATAATTTAGAGTACATACACTGTAATTGGTTTGTACGGCTATTTTATCAGGATTTTTCCTATGTATAGTCAACATAAACCATTTAATTTTTAGACATTATTAATTGGATGTTAGACTTTTTTTTTGCCTATAAGGTAGTACATCCATTTCCTCTTCAAGATAAAACCAGCTAGCTAGACCTAAAGAATTGCAAAAACAGTTGTGTATGCAATAATATTTATCGGGATTCGAAACCAAGAATTTTTTGATTGTTAATTGCATATTATGGTGGAATATATTACCATTAACTCGAAATTAATAGCATTATAAAATTAATTCACTGAATACAGGTTTATTTTTGCCCTTTCGCTTGCAAACATGTTTGTACTGTTTTTATTTGGTCAATTTACAACTCTGTATTAGACATTGAGCAGTGAGTAATCTTTATCGTGCCAGAACCCTCTGCGATAAGGGACTTAAACGTTTTCATCAGAAGTGAAACATATGGAGATAACGAATAGTATTCAATATCAAAAGTCCATAAAACAATACAAAATAGGAGCAGAGCAAACACGGACCTCGAAAACATCAGAGGTAAGATCAGGTGCCATGGAAGAGTGAGCAATCCCTGCCGTCCGGTCACACCCGCCGTGTGCTCCTTGTCATGAATAGAAGGAATAGTCTCAAGGTCTTGTAACTGCATTCATTAAACCAGTGATGTCTGGATCACTCATTCTGGGAATCTAGAGCAAATACACTAACTAGTGCGCCAAGCGGACGACTAACAAAAAACTTTTAAACATTGATTGGATACTAATACTAATATCAGTGTATTTCTTGTAACAAGACGCGTACCAATATATTTGACTTACTGACTTTAAACTTGGTGTTTAGCCTACATTTGGAAAAAAAAACGTCAGAATCTGTTGTATCATATTTGATTATATTATCAAATAAATGTAGTAATTAAAAATGAATAATCATTATCTATTGATAAAACGTGGTCGCTATATATCTAAAAGTGAAGGCCAGTGCAAGAGAATTCTTCTTTTCATGTAGTGTTTGAAAAAAAACATTTGTTACATACGTATGATCATACGATGCAAAAAAAGATATGTATCATGTAATAACGGAAAGTAATTACATGTAGTATCAATGGTTATTGCAAATATATTTTTGGCAGATATCCAAAACTACAAATTAATATATATTTCTTCGAAAATCATGCAATATATTGTTGGAACAATATTGATGATTTAAAACATTAAAAAATGCAAATGATCCATGACAAGTCAAGTCAATCACGACTTGCAATTCTATTGATAGTGCAGCTGACTGTGATGTCAAAAATTCGGGAAATCATTTTTACCTGTAACATGAAGAACTTACCAAAGGATTGAGATAAAATGGAATGTCGTTTTTCTTGTCCTCTACAAGGGCTGCATAATTGGTATACACAGTATACGGTAACCAGCACAACATAAAACACGCAAGGACGATCACCAGGGTCAAGGTAACACCTCTCTCACCAGCATCCGTAGGGGTCAAGGACATTCGGCGCTGAATATTAGCATGGTGTCTAATATATATGAATATCCGAATATAACAGAATACCAATATAGCCAACGGAATGAAAAGGTTCCCAATTTGGTTAGCAATGTGTAAATAAAAACTTAGTTGTCCATAAATGGGATATTTGGGCCCACACTGTAGAGTTTTCTCCTTGAATATAGGGTCAGAAATGAGGGTTAAGATGCTGAATACAATGGCATAAATCCAGGCTGCACCAATCAGAATAAAACAAGTTCGTCGTGTAACGGGGGTGTTAAAGTCATTGTTAACTGCCACTCGTCGAACGCTGATAAATTTGTGAATACTGATATACATGAGAGTATGAATAGAAGTTAATAATGACAGTGTTACCAGGAACGAGTTAACTTTGCACAAAAAGAGCGGCATATCCCAGCATTCCACGTAAACTGAATGAATTGAGAAGGGTATTACTAGGACCACAAGTAGGTCAGCAATAGCCAAGTTTAACAGGAAGTAGTTTGTTGTCTGGGACGGATCGCGCATGACCGGGTTTTTGATAATGACGATGATGACCAGCGTGTTTCCTATCAGGTCCGCCAACAGAATGCTTACAAGCCACACTATGATAAACACCGTGAAGGGGGTAGAAAAGTAATCAGGGGCCTCTGTCGCGTTACAAAACACGTGTACATTGAAATTTTGGGACATGTTTGTCCATCCATTCGTTAGATTTCCCGCCATTTTCACTGTTTGGAAAAATAAGACACGTTAAAGTTGTTGTCCTCAACTCGAGCAAAGTCTTCCGTACATTTCTTTCCCTCCTCGCGCTGTTATATCAGATAATTTCCTTTCATTTGGAAAATTCTCCGATCCTTATTTCTGATATCTGAAGTTCCTTACACTGGAAAACCCGTCTTTTTCTGTTCTGAATTCTTACTCTAGATTTCAAAATAAGAACAAACAAAAAATCATGATCCGCATTAATTTTATATTTCGATCTTACGTCAGATATAAAGGATCTCTCTTCTTTTTTTCATAACAAGATATCTATAAAACAAAAACATGCGCTGTGTCTGCCATATTTTCTCGACCTCTTTACTGAGTTAAAATCTTTTCAGAAAATGAACAGATCTAGAAAATATCAATCATCGTAATGAATACCTTATCTCTGCCTCCCTGCTTGAACGATGTTGATGATGAAGTTCACAAAATCGTGATTTTTGGATTTTTTTTTCAAATTCTTCACAAGGACAAGAAGCAGTCTCTCAGAGAATTACGCATGCTGAAAAATCTATTTTCCCTCAGAAAATTCAATGAATCTTAAAAATTGGAAATTCACATCTCCACATTGCTCCAAGTAATATAAGTCCAATGCAAAAGCACGAGATACCACTGCACAGCTTTCCTCTTATCGACAAAACGCAAAAATCAAATAAATCGAAACGTTATGCTAAGAGTTCCTTTTTGTGAGAAAAAGTTACATAACTGGTTCTGCTGTTATGAATAACACACTGTGGTTCCTCGCAAGACTGCTAAGCACACACGGTTCTATTTCATATGACAGTTTTTTCCTCCTTTACCCTCTCTTTCTCAATAAAAGCACCACACGTCTCTTGAAGAAGTTGTTCCCAGTTGAAGAACAAAATCTAATAATAAGACGGGAATGTTTCCCTACTGTCCTAGAACATGGCGGTCTGACGTTTCAACTTTGTTCATTGGAGTGGCAGGTGCGAATTCAATAATTTCAGTGTATCTTTAAATGCTATCTATTGGGTGAAGGAGAGTTTATCGAAAACGGAATAATTAAAACAAGACTGCGTCACGATTTCTTAAAAAAAACATAAAAATCGGTGATAAAACTTGAATTCCCAAATTCCTCCGTTTCAAATGAAAATTTAGAAAAAAATCCGCAACGTTCAGAGCATACAAGGATTTTTGACGATCATTTATATTTTTAACGCCAGGGGCAAGGGCTGGCCCACGATTCCCTTGTCACTGTCCATATCAGGGTGGTGGATCCAATATCACGAAGTTGGCGCGTTATCTCAAGGAATGCACCGTGCACGAGACAGTAGAGCAGGAAGGTCTGAAATGATAAATGCATCAGATTAAATCTATGTCTGCTGAAAACTCTCACACTGGGTAACTTAATCTATAAATGATATTTACATCATTACACGCCAAATCTGTGATTATGATCATAAAAAATGCCAAACATTCGATAATCTGAAAAACTGCAGGAGAAAAGCTGAATAAAGAGTCATAAAAACTGTTGGCAAGTATTATTGTTAAGGTAAATGAAAACAGCTGTTAGAGAGAGATGATATGAGTGAGTAACAATAATTTTAATTTTAAAATGACGGGAACTAAAAAAAAATACAAAATACAAACATAGTGATTTGAGAAATATTTTGGTTTTTCTACGTTTTTATTGGTGTTAAAAAGGCACTGGATTATTTAAAACGTAAATCATAAAATCGTTTTAAAAAGTCAAATGTCAGAAGAACTGGAAATTGTAGAGCAGGATGTCCTTACATATCGGCTAATAGAAATCTTAATTATTGTTACAAGCTTAATTATTTTCTTTGATTATTTAAGATATACTGAGGAATATTGATCCCCCTATATCCATCGGTATTAAAACATCAAAATGTTATAAGGGAAAGTCGTCATTAGTTTATGCCAAACATCTGAAAGTTCAACGTTAAAGACAAGGTCTGGCTCCTTTGACTATATGTAAGCTTGAAGAGGATATTCAGGGACGTAGCAACATATCACCATTTTTTCCCAACCTTACTTGTACTATAGGAAATATTAATTGAATGCCTGGTTGCCCCCCCCCCCCCCCCCCCCCCCACTGTTAGACTTTAAGTGATGTAACGAAAATGTAATACTAGAATTGGTACTAAAAGTGGTTGACACTGATTAAAAATTAACCTATACCCCCCCCCCTCCCCCACGAAATAGGATTTTCGACTTTGGGGGAACTTTTTCCTTATAATAACCAATTTATTTAAAATTAATAAAAGTTTTTACCAGACGATCAATATGATTTAATATAACTGTAATGAATCATGGGGGAACATTTTAACAAGGCTGGGGATAGCAGCTATTTTCAGACTATTTCCCTCTCCTTTAAAAGAAGAGCTCCGTATAAAGATATACAAAAATGATCAAATTTTAAAACTAAAATGTAGGAATTTGTTCTTTGCCAAATGATAGTTGACAGCTTAAGATACCGTATCTAAAAAAATAAGTTAAATTTGGTGGTTAATTTGGGATTAATTTGTTGACCCACCAGCCTCCTTAAATATTTTTTTAAAAACGAAATTCAAACGTTTTGATCTTATGTTTTATAGGGTGTGATAATTAGTGACTTTTTAGCATGACAAATTATATAATCATAAAAGATGAATCGAATGCCTCCTTTAAAAGAAAGCAAAAAAAAACTTACTATTTAATTTTATTCGTTACTGCAACTCAAGCTTTGGTTAAGGACCATGCATTGATATTATAAAAAGATAACAATAATCGCAAGCTTGAAAGTGTATTTAATTAACGAAATCTGATGAAATTGTTATAGCATCTACCATAAAACCTGCGAAAGACTTCATACGAGACTGTTTTTTTTTTCTTGTTTTATCAATTCAATTGTCAATAGCTTGCCCTCTTTATAAATTGTTTGAACGTAGAACATGCTTTTTGTGTATCGAATTAATCAACTGGGAGACATATACCCCTTATGCTTGTGATGATGGTACATTGCGACATCAATTAGCGAAGTTGAAGATAGAAAAGTTTTAAGTTAAAGTCATGAAGTTTATTATTAAATCTGGTAGTTCATGATTATTTACCTTTAACTCTTAACGTCTAGCAATATTTATATTGTATCAAGATGAAAACAGATGTGTCAGACTCCGGTATCTCTTATTTTAAGTTTACTGCCAGGGATATACATTGTAACATTTCATAAATGGAAGATACTCATATTGTTAATTGATACATTAGCCAAATCCATTTCAACAGTGATGCTATAATAATAAATTCGTAAAGCGGTAAAGCGCTTAGTGAAACTTGGAACAAATATATATAATTTCACAAACAGTACATTGTAAGCTCAGTTAATTACAGTAAATATGGTAAAAAATACTCTTTAATTGAAATGTCAACATTTCATTTCCTAATCTGAAGTATCTGACAGTTCAAGATTTTTAACTTATTCGGATTGAAAAAAAAATAATTGCATAATTTATATTGCCTACATTTAAAACATAAATTTTAACGTTTAAAATGCTAACTCCATTGACGAAAAGCATGAATATTTTTAAAAAGAAAAGGAGGTAAAAATGTTAACCAAATAGCAGCTGGAGTAGTTCTCGTTATACAGCCGTTATGATGGCGATTAATAAGGAATTTATCGTAACGAGGTCAATATTGTCCCAATCAATATCAAATTATTACAAAGAAATGTACATTCTGGCGATTGTTACGTCAGTTAATCGTTAAATAGCTTCATTTCTGTCAAAATCCCGGGTTCTTCATCGAATATTTACAATTATAATTGAATAACATGTAAACGTTATTAAGAGACCATGAAAAGAGTCCTTTATAAAGTCAATATTGCTCTAATTTACAGTCTTATATAACTTCCAAATTTGTAATTAATTTAACTTCTCTGAGACTACATAATAATAGAAAAGAAACAGAATCGAAATACTCTGAAAAACTTTTATCATTATTTTTTCATTGTTAATTAAATAATTCATTACTCAATTTTGTTGTTAAAATAATGGTTGATCATTTAATTATGTAATAAATTTATGTTCGTTCACTATGATGCAATCTCCATACAATTACTTGAATGGTCGGGCAATGACTGCTCTGGTATTTTCGAGCATTTTATTTTTAAAGGCTAGGTCATGACACTTTTTTACAGATCATATTACAGAGTGTTTGCAAAATATGCGAAACAGAAAGCAGATATGTGTACATATAAATTACTTAGATTGGCATTGTAATTAATGTCCTTATTCTGTGCTCAGTTATTTAACGTTTCATTAATTTGTTCACAAATCAGAATTTAGGTCATTTTTGTCTAAAAAGAACTTTGACAATGATACATGGATCTCGAATTTAAAGAGGTCACCTGTTTTATTTCAAGATAATGACATGATGTCAACTGCTATATAATAAGCTAACACATGAATACAACATGCACAAGTATGTATAATATTGAAGGAAAGAGAATGCTCAACAGAGAGAGAAGGGGGAGGCTATTAATATAATTTTAATTATTTAATATTAACGATAATTAAGATAAAAAAAAAACCTATACCCAAAGTCGGTTTGAAATAGTTTTAAAGATATAAACAGAGCAGAAAGGTCATTTGTATATATCTCTTACCAAAATATAGGTCAACGTATTACCCGTGGTTTTGTTTCATTTCATTGAATTGGGCACTTAAAAAATCTTACAACAACAAAGTTTAAAGTACTTACAATTAATTGTCCATCAGAAATTTGGAACTTTAAAAATTCGTTCCGATGTTTTCTTGCCCTTTAGGCAGACAATCCCCACATCTGGCACGAAATCAGTGAATTTTATAACTTTAAACAGTCTGCAGAAGTTAAACCTGCACTTCACACTGTGTGCAATCTAATGGGAAAGCCCTGTATGGTGCGCAATTCAGACCTATTTCGTGGAAATGTTGGGGATGGGGAAAAGTGCACCCTTTCCCTGTATGCATTAGTTTGTGTGTTAAATAAATATGAATTAAAGGGATCCTTTATTTTACATATAAACGGTATTTTTTTTTTGGGGGGGGGGGGAGATTTTGTTTCTTATATATACATGTATATATTCGTTCACATATTTTAGTCACCCATACTATGCATGGGTATACATGGGTATACATGCACTAATAAAATGTGGGCAATGCATTTTTTTGGAAAATATATAGTCACGTTGCGGTATTAAAATGTAATTCATTTTATATTCAGAGTTTAATACTTTATTTACCAATTTTTAATCACAATTAATGTTAGAAAATTTATTAGAAAACATTATATAAAAGTTGAACAATCTGCTTGAAATAATTGAGTTCAATGTAGGTTTAGATTTCTTCTTTTTCTTCATTTTTTTTATGGAAATAAGTTTATCTCGAAACGAGGCGTAGGAACTACAGCGCTCCTAACAAACGCATTTAATGGCCTTGTAATTACAGGAGACTTTTTTCCCAAGATTTTCGTATTAAAGATCTAAGTCCATACTATGGTCCTACTTCAGTTAGAGATTATAATTTTCGCGGTAATTTAATTTTCGTTGTTTTAATTTCCAGACAAGAGACTCATAAATTTATGACCACCACGAAATTGAAAATCCCATATGCATTACTAATAAACATTTTCCAACTACTAAATCAAGTCCCCATAAAACAATACTTTTCCTCAAACCTTTTAAATTTTAAATTTGACCTCCAGAAATCTGTGAATTTGAATCCATTCGACATTTCATGTCCTCCAATCAATTCCATTTAAAAAAGAAGATGGCGAACAACATTCAAATTCAAAGGCCATTTACACATTTACAAAAGGAGCAGAGCAAACAGAGACCTACAAAACTATCGGAGGCGGGATCAGGTGTCATGAAGGAGTGAGATGACAAATATATATGACTAAATAATTATTTTAATATGCTCTGTGTGACGTGGAGATTGGTCCTTCGAATAAGACCGTATAAGGCGAGGTCATTGTCGTAGAAGGTGCTGATACGAAAAAGATTTATCACTGCTCAATAGCCCCTAGTGCCTAGTATAGGACAAAATTTGCAGCTCTCCACCAGCAAGTGGTGGCGTCTTAATATGAGTGAAAAATTCTCGAGAGGGACGTTAAACAGTATACAATCAATCAATCAACCATTTAAAAATGCTCTGTTGAAGATTTTCAATGGTTCATTTTAAAAGCTGACATGCATTTATAAAATTTTATATTAGACGGGTAAGCCCGCATACACATTCCTAGGGGCCATATTTTCGGTAGGACAGGGGTTTTCATTCCAAATAATTTCGATATATATCCGTATTATTCAGACGAGAGCAAGGTCACTTATGGTTAGGAATTTCGCTTAGATTTCTATAACTTAAAAGAAAATTCCGATATAATATTTGTTTGCATTTAGTCTGGAATATCGAAACACAGCCAGCAAATGTCTAAGTTGTCAAGCCAATACGTTTTTGCTGAAAGCGCAGCATTTGGACGTAAAAAGATAAAATATTTGAGAAGAGCAGTGTTGGGATGCAGTTATTGTTTATTTTGGGCAGACTTGTATTTTCCTTGTGAGGAAAGTTCATTGAAGCAATAGTACAAGATACCCGATAGTTTTCAGATTGCTAGTATTGGACAAAACTTTTGTTTAACTGTTATCAAAAAACTTATTTTAAAACATACACTTTAAAAGAATAACAAAACAGGTAAAATAATTTAGGAGATTTTGGTTCCTATGAGGTTCCTATGGAGAGGAACTAGTTAAGTTGTAAAAAATTGTTTCTAATTCCATTTGATTCTTTCAATAAAATATGTTCAAATCACACAAGAGATTTTGGGGTATGCTGTATTCTTGTTTCAGGAACAACTTATGAGGCACATTTAGATGTATACAAGTCGTTATCATTGAAACTACTTTTGAACAAGATATTATTGCGTCATGTGATTAGCCCACCTTAATATGACCTATGACCTTTAGAAAACTTCGTACAGAAATTCAATTACATCATTAGCTCTCAGTACACAGAGAGATACCAAATCAATATATATTTCATTTTGAATTTTAAAAATTGTTTGCAGAAGGAACATCTAGACTACAAATAGTACATCTGATAAGCAATCACGGCTACGCAAAGCGTAGGTGATAAATTCATTTTTTTTATTATGAAAGAATTTTAACGAACCCTACTTCAAGAGATCAAACTTGTACATGAAAATAATATTGAGAGTGGAGAAAGTTTAAAATAAAAATTTTTCCTAAAAATCGCAAGAATACAATACTATTAAGTCCATTCAATAGCTATTATCTCCTACTTTCGATATAGCTTATAAATTCTCTTTTCCGTTTTTGTTGCTTTAACCCTAAAAATCATACATTGGAATAAAATGAGGATGAATAATGAAATCAATTTTAAGATCGAAATTATCACAACTGCAGTCAAATTTGGATTTATATATAATTGTCGTATATTGCAAAAAAGGCATTCTACAAACTAAATTACTTGGGAAATAAATATCATAAAACTATTATAGTAAATAATCAGCCAAAATCATAGAATTTATGTAGTATCAATCACTGAAGTGTTTACTGGAAAAAAAAACATACTAGTAAATAATCTATATATATACATAGTTTTCTACATCCATGAAATAACATTTAACACATGTCCTGTAATACAAACCCAAAATTCAAAGGAGAAATACCCTTGTTTTCTGCAGGCAAACGTATGATACATGTACATGTATTTATGAAGAAAAATTGCTTAAATCCTTTTTTTTTTAAATTTCCATTAGAAGAATTCCAAACACTAAACAATTTTTCCTGGAAAATAGCATGCAATAGCATACCTCTAAAAAATCACTATGAAAGGATTGAGAGAACAGTTCGTCACAACTAAGCAGCATCCAAAAAAAGTATAGAGATTCAGATTTATTCCACTGGAGCCCTCTCATTGCACATAAAGAGAATTGTGTTCCTTACAAAAAGCTAGGAATAGAATATCAAAGTTGGCTTCAATATCTAATTTAATCAACTCATCCATTGCAATATGCTTTAATTTACATACCTGAGTGGGCGCGAGAAATTCTAGATAGGCTCTGTTGTTCAGATGTTTGGTTTGTGTATTTGAATGTTGACTCGGGAGATTGCTAGATTACTTCTCTTTTTTTTTAACAAATTAATATAAAATTGAATCAAGATAAATGAATGGCACTTCATTGTTGAGTCAGTCTTGTATGCTGGATTATATATATAGAAATTAGTTTCTCTTGATGTTTTATTTTCACAAAGTTCCTGAAAACGAAGCAAGTTTTATATTTATTTGTACCAGGAGTATAGTATAGATAAAACTATCTGCGGGCTAACTTTCAAAATACAATCTTTTGTAGTTGTCAAAAATGTAGGAATAAATATTTTCGAGAAAATAATGAAATTTCTATTGATATATAAATAAATTATTAATTACAAATGCCCTTGTCAGCAAATACGTTCTATCATTAAGTCAAAATTAATCTGAATGGCGTCTTTCATTCTCATTGATAGTTCTTCGTTTACACACTGGTTTGTCTACCGAGTTTTCGGGGGGGGGGGGGGGGGGGGGGGGGGGGTCGATCATGACAATTATTAAGGAGCAGATGGCGGTTTCACAATTTCTCAATACGGAGTAGTTAAAGTTCTGTAAAACCACTAAAAGGCAATAAATGATGCCGGTTTCAGTCGAAACAGGTAGTAGTAGTAGTGCAGTTTAAGTATTTCAGTCAGAAAAATTGTAGAAAATAATTATTTTGAATTAGATATGAGCGTCAGGGCTGAGTGTCGCTCTTCAAAATGGCGGTTTCACAATTTCTCAATACTGACTAGTTAAAGTTCTGTAAAATCACTGAAAGGTAATATATGATGCCGGTTTCAGTCGAAACAGGTAGTTTAGGTGCAGTTTAAGTATTTCAGTTAGAAAAATGATAGAAAATAATTATTTTGAATTAGATATGAGCGTCAGGGCTGAGTGTCGCTCTTCAAAATGGCGGTTTCACAATTTCTCAATACTGACTAGTTAAAGTTCTGTAAAACCATGAAATGGCAATATATGATGCCGGTTTAAGTTGAAACAGATAGTCTAAGTGCAGTTTAAGTATTTCTGACGGAAAAGTTGTAGAAAATAATTATTTTGAATTAGATATCAGCGTCAGGGCTGAGTGTCGCTCTTCAAAATGGCAGTTTCACAATTTCTCAATACTGACTAGTTAAAGTTCTGTAAAACCATTAAAAGGCAATATATGATGCCGGTTTAAGTTGAAACAGATAGTCTAAGTGCAGTTTAAGTATTTCTGACAGAAAAGTTGTAGAAAATAATTAATTCGAAATAGATATGAGCGTCAGGGCTGAGTGTCGCTCTTCAAAATGGCAGTTTCACAATTTCTCAATACTGACTAGTTAAAGTTCTGTAAAATCACTAAAAGGCAATATATGATGCCGGTTTAAGTTGAAACAGATAGTCTAAGTGCAGATTAAGTATTTCTGACAGAAAAGTTGTAGAAAATAATTATTTTGAATTAGATATGAGCGTCAGTGCTGAGTGTCGCTCTTCAAAATGGCGGTTTCACAATTTCTCAATACTGATTAGATTTAGTTCTGTAAAACCATTAAAAGGCAATACATGATGCCGGTTTAAGTTGAAACAGATAGTCTAAGTGCAGTTTAAGTATTTCTGACAGAAAAGTTGTAGAAAATAATTATTTTGAATTAGATATGAGCGTCAGGGCTGAGTGTCGCTCTTCAAAATGGCGGTTTCACAATTTCTCAATACTGACTAGTTAAAGTTCTGTAAAATCACTGAAAGGTAATATATGATGCCGGTTTCAGTCGAAACAGGTAGTATAGGTGCAGTTTAAGTATTTC